ACGGGTGGTACGGGTGGTACGGGTGGTACGGGTGGTACGGGTGGTACTTTACCTGACTGTATGTCAGTGCATAACATACATGCAGTGTCAGCAGTGTCTAAATGAGGGTATCATATCACCTAGAGCTGGAGATCCAGATGATTGTGAGCTGTCATGTGGGTGCTGAGAATCTAATCTGGGTCCTCTGCAAGAGCAGCCAGGTTCTTCATAAAAAATTACCTTTTTTATTGTTTCTTTATGAGTTTCACATCATACATCCCAGTCCTGCTCATCTATCTGTCTCCTCACATCCACTCTTTGCCCTTACAACAGCCCTCCCCCCACAAAAAAAAACCCTCACAAACAGTAGCAGCAGCAACAGCAGCAGCACCACCACCAACAGCAAACGAACAAAGCATAGAAAAGATCTCATCATGGAAGCTGTAGTGTATCACAGTATGCCCCACAGTATATCCTTCTGTCCACACATTTTCACTTGCAAATGTTCATTGCAATGAGTCATTGGTCTACTTCGAGGTCTCTTGCTTCTGTGACACTATCAATATTGTATCTTCATTAGGACTCTTCCCTCTTCTCCTGTTGTCCTGCATCATGGAGATCCTGCAACTTTGGGTCAGCAGAACTAGCCCATTCAGTCACCCCAACTGATTACAAATGATGTAGATTTAGGGGTGGGCCATCTTAGAGCCCTGGATCTGGGCCTGTATGGTAGCAGAGCTGGTCAGCCCACTGGCTCTCCCTTATCCACACCACCATGGGAAGTTCTCCAGCACTGCTCTGTCTAGGCCACTTAATGCCACCATCAGCTGGAGGCAGAGTTGGCTCTCCTGCTCTCAAAGGCAGCTAACCTGTACCCTTACTTCCAGCTCCAGATCCACTGTGCTGCCCACACAAGACACAGGGCCCAGAGGGACAGGGACACAGCTCTTTTACTTTTACATCCTTGAGTCTGGCTCACCCATGCCTTCACTATCAGGGTCAGCTTCACTGTGTTGTCCAGGAAAGGTGTAGGGCCTCCTCAGTGCTGCAGGCATCAAGGGACAAGGTCAGCTTATCTGCTCTCATGAGCCCCAGGGCCAGCTCTTCCAACTGCTGCAGGTTGTGAAGGGCAGGGGTTATGTATCAATCACCTCTGTACCCATGCCAGCTCATGGCAGAGAAGTGACTGGGTAAGCTCTCCAGTGCTCTTGACCTCCCATCTGGCTCACCTGTACCCCTACTACCAGGGTAGGCTCTACTGCACTGTCCAGGTCAGGTAGCTGGTGAGGGACAGGGATACCTATTAGGAGATAATAACCCTGTGGGCAAAGGGGTAGGGGCATCACCGCTATCACCCCTGTGCTTCTGTCCACACCAGGGCAGATGAGTGGTATGGTTGGCTCTCCCAAACTCATGCCTTTGGGGCCCTGCTCACTGTCCGCCCCCCCCAAAAAAAAAACCAACCCAGAGGCATCTCCACAGTGTTGTCTGGGCTTGCTCTCCTGAATGCTATCAGTAGTAAGAGATGAGGCCAGCTCATCCAGTGGGGGGTGGGGTCAGTTTTGTACATCCTCTGGATGTCCTCAACAAGGGACATTCCCATGTTTTCTAGTAGTAATATATGCCACAGGCATTGAGACCAACCCTTGCCACTGTGTAGCCACAGACTCAGATATGGCCTTCAGCAGCTGCTCAGCCTGAGACATCACAGTGGCTCGACATAGTGGGGCAGGCCACCTCCTACCACTCGAATCTCCAGCTTCATCTCCCTTCACAGTGCTCAAGCTGCTCCACTTTTCTTTCTCCCCCATCTGACCACCACATACTTGCTTGTGGTGGCTTCAGCTGCAGGCTGGCCAAATGGCTGGTGGGCTCTTGGGTGATATCCTTTATCCATGCTGCATGTTATGTCAGCAAGCAGATGTCTATGGCCCACTTGTGTCATGTACTAGGGAGCAGGTTTGTGGGTGGCATGGCAGTCCTCAGATCTCCTTCCTCCTGTCCAGTCATGCCTGGTTTTGATTTTTATGAGTCCTAGGCATGAAACTGTTTTGTCCACCAAGCCAGGTATCAATCTAGGATGAACATGTAACTGCCATCTGCTCTGCCCCAGACTGACAAGAGCACCACCACCAAGATGTCTCTTTGCTCATTGACCGGGGCTTGCAGCTCATGCTCTTAACTATAATTCATCTCTCTATCCCTTAGCTTTCCAATTTTGGGGGTTCCACTACATTGTTCAGATTTTCAAAGTAAAATCAACAAAATATAAATGATAAAAATCAGCATTTATTCAACATCTACTCTGCACTATAGTTTTTATAGGTATCTTAATTATGATTTGATTGCTGTGAAGAGACACCATGACCATGACAACTCTTATAAAGGACAATGTTTAACTGGGGCTTGCTTACAGGTTCAGAGATTCAGTCCATTATAATTATGGCAGGAAGTATGACAGCATCCAGGCAGGCATGGCACTGGAAGAGCTGAGAATTCTACCTCTTGTTTTTGAAGGCAGCTAGGAGAAGACTGACTCCCATGTGGCTAGGCAGAGGGTGTCAAAGCCCACCCCGACAGTGACACACTTCCTCCAATAAGGCCATACCCACTCCAACAAGGCCACATCTCCTAATAGTGCAACTCCTTGGGCCAAACATAATCAAACCATCACAGTATGGTAGGATTAATTTTTCTGAATGTTAAAAATAATCAAATTGAGATTTGTAAAACTACAAAACTTGTCTAAAGTAGAGTTAGCAGATGAAATAGAGATATATAAAATCTGATTCATCTAGTTTAGGAACCTATATCAAGAATATTGACACTCTGGCTTCTCTTCAGCTCATATAAATCCCTTTCCTTTTAAGAGAATATGGACAGAAACCAAGGCTAAACTCAAACACTACATTGTTAGGAGAGGATAGAGATCTAGGATGACCTGATCCTGTGCCATGATGGTACTCTAGAGAACCATGAATTCCCATAGGTTAATGTCATTGTCTGTCTTAAAGGCTGAGTGACTCTGAAGGAGAAGGCAAGTGATCTCACAGATAGAGGAAGGGAGAGTCCAGGAAGCAATCTTACTGTTCCTTCACTCTGAGCTCCACCCATAACTGCAATACTTTGAATCTTCACCTGGAGTCTGCAAAATACAAAAAGCATTAGTGTGCAGGTCTAAGTGCCTTTTTTGTGTAATTTGTTATCACAAACAGACCAAGTAATAGGCTGAACAGTAAGGCTATATAAGTTAAGGATATAGAAGTATCTTGATAGTACTTCATGTGGAATCTTTCTACTATCTGAGTTTCATTAAAATAAAGCAAAGCTACTTGTTTTAAAGGATCTGGGAAAATGAAAGGAAATATCATTAAATTGGTAATAGGGCAAAAAAGATGTCATCATTAATAAATTTTGTTTCCAAAGTTTCATATTTAGTCCTCTTCCCATATATTTTTCTTTAAAAAATACTACACACTTAAAACTATTCCCATTATGTACATAATTTACTATAGGAAGACTGGATTTTTTAGGATGGTAAAGTCAGCATATGGTTTCACCAAATTGGTTTTTCTTTGAGGCTGCCTCAAAGCCAAAATATTTTGCACTGCACCCCATGATTTGATTTGTAACATTTTAAAAGTGTAGATCAGATGGTTTGTTTAATGTCAAGCAAGAAAATGGACTACAAACAATTATATATTTTCTATTATCAGACAATACGCTATTTGTTTGTTTTTTTAAAAAAATCATTTTATTTAGTTTGAAGATGTTTCCTTGGACCCAGAAATAGCCTTAGGTCAGGCGTGGAGCTCATTATATTGTCAAAATTTGTGGGCAGAGATACAGTTAAAGTTAAATTTTACATACTCAAAGAAAAATGCTCATATTTCTTATTGACTCTTTATCTGACACAATTTGGAACGGAAAATTTGTTCATCAGTCCTTTTCACATCTAAAATCTTCTCATGATATTTAGTAGTATTTAAGAGTCTCAGTGAGTTGAGTAAGCCATGTAAACTCAGCTTCATATAAAACCTTATAATGTTTTTTTTTTGCTTTTGAGTTTTTAATTTAATTATATGCAAGATACTTTTAATTAAAATATAACTTCATCACTTACCTCTTCTGTTTCCTCCCCAACCCCTCCTATTCCCTCCATCCAGTACCTCCCACGTTCTCTCACTCATCACCTCTCAAATTTATGACCTCACTCTCTTTATTATTGTTAAATATATAGTATGTATATATAAAAACACCTTCACAAGTATATGAATACAGCATACTATACCAGAATTTGTTGTTTGTGTGCATATGATTTCATCTTCTCTCAGCAGTCATTAGTTACTTATAGTTCTTTGTCTAGTGATGCACCCCTGCAGTAAGGTTCTACCCCCATGTTGTCATTAGCATGTTTATTGATATCGTTACCATTCAGGTTTTTTTTAGACAGTCATTTCTAAGAGAGACAGTGTCATAGCAGCCTTCCTGGTCTTCTGGTTCTTATAATCTTTCTTTCCTCTCTTCCACAATGTTTCCTGAGCCTCAAGCACATTGGGGCTGGTATCCTTATGGTCCATTGATCTCTGAATTGTGTCCAGTTGTGTTTTTTTCACTTGTCTCCATTTGTAATAAAGATGACCTTCTTTGAGCTACATTTATCTGGGAGTCTAAGTATAAGTTTTAGAATCAAGTTAGGAATTATGCTTGTCTAGGAAATTAGGCAATAGTAGAGTCTATTCTAAGACCCATCTCTGGATCTACTATCTCTGAGTATTTGTCTGTTTTTCTAGTACCAGGCATGATTTCCCTCCTAATGTGTGGGCATTAAGTCCAATTAGACCACTGTTGATTACTGTCAACATATGAGTTGCCATTATTGTACCTTTAGGAATATCATGCCCTGCTGCATTGTGGCTCATAGACATCACAGCTGAATATGATTATGGATTGCTTTCCTCTCTTGGCAGCTTGCATACTACTTTTTGACATTTTGATATTGTGGAAGCTAGTTTACTACAAGAAGCCTTTTATAGTAGATCCAGTTTGAATCATCTAAGTCCTGTGCAGTAAGTATCTTCAGCAATAGGGACTTATCATGAACCTGTAAGAGAAAACCAAGGTCAATAGCCTATATTGCTTTGAAAATCACTAGGAGTATCCTGACCAACAAGAGAAAAGGAGATTTTTCATGCCTCATACTGTTTTTTTTTTTATTAGATGGCTTATGACTCCCTTAAAGTGGGGGTGTATATGTGTGTGTGTGTACATTTGTGTATATTTTAAATATATATATATATATATTAATTACACACAGACATATATATGTGTGTGTACTTCTTTTAAGCACAATATATGCATATATATATTAAAATTTTATGTGAATATAAAATACAATTCCTTGGGGCTTTGTGAGGCTTTGTATATGCTAGCCCTAGGGAGCAACACTATTAGGAGGTGTGGCCTTGTTGGAGTAGGTGTGTCACCGTGAGCATGGGCTTTAGGATCCTCATCCTAGCTGTCTGGAAGCCAGTCTTCTGTTAGCAGCCTTCAGATGAAGATGAAGAACTCTCAGCTCCTCCTGTACCATGCCTGCTTGGATGCTGCCATGTTTCCGCCTTGATGATAATGGACTGAACCTCTGAGCCTGTAAGCCAGCCCCAGTTAAATGTTGTTCCTATAAGACTTACCTTGGTCATGGTGTCTGTTCACAGCAGTAAAACCCTAACTAAGACAGGCTTTATCAAACAACTTTGGTGTTATTTGCCCCTATCCTTCTCTCTTTCTCCTCCTGCGTTTACTTTTCTCTTTCCTCCTCAGTTGGAGCCCCTCCCAGTTATTCTGCTTTTCACTTCATATTTCCTGTTCCCTGCTATTCCATTCCCACACAGCCTCCCTCTAACTTTAGTCCCTTTGTACTGCCCTGATTTCTGTGGTTATTCCATGTTATATACTTCCACCTGAAGACTTGGGCTAGGAACCACAGATGAATGAGAACATGTGGTATTTGTCTTTCTGGGTCTGGGTTACCTCATATAATATTCCATTCATTTACCTGCAAATCTCAGTTTTCTTTACTATTGAATAGCATTCTATAGTGTGAGTGGACCACACTTCCACTATCCATTCATCTGCTGAAAGACTTGTAGGTTGTTTTCCTTTCCTAGCCATTGTGAATAGAGAAGCAATGTATTTAACCTTTTTAGAAAGGATTTTTCCCTGAATCTGTAACTCACTGTTTTGGCTAGACTGTCTGGCCAGTAAGTTCCTGGGACCCAGTTTTCTCTGCTGTACTCATTGCTCAGGTTACAGATGCATACCAGCATGCCCTAATTTTTTATGTGAGTGCTGGGAATCTGAACTCAGGTCCTCATGCTTGCATAGCAAACACCTTCTCACCGAGCTTTCTCCTTAGCCCACATTGAGATAGTTTCAGAAGATGTTTTTCACACATTTTACGTGCATGCATTTAATTATTTTAATGTAATTTAATATCTACATAAGCAACTATAAAAATAAATGTATGTTTTAAATTATATCACTTGGGCAACAAATGTTTGTAGAGTAGCAATAGCTCTTCACTGAAGTCTACTTTAGAAATTGCTGCATTGTATTTCAGTGAACATAATATAGTTAATCATTTGCATACTGATGGACATTTGTCTTGTTTTTCACTTTCTACTCCTATACATAATATTAAGATAAATCTATTTATTAATTCATTTATCATTAGTGAAAAATATTTTTATACACTGTATTCTGATTACAATTTCCCCCCTCAACTTGTCCCAGATCTTCCCCCTTCCCCACCCCCTCTACCATTTAAATTCTCTCTCTCCCCCATTAGAAAACAAGCATATAAAAGTAAAATAAAATAAGATAAAACAAACAAACAAAAACCCAAATCAGAATCTGACAAAACAAACAAAACAGAAGAAAAAAGAACCAAAGGAAAAGCTCAAGAAACACCAATAAGCACAGGGAAACACAAGTTTACACACACAGAAATCTCATTAAAAGCACAAAAACAGAAAATATGATATATATGCAACGGACCTCTAAGGTTAAAAAGGGCCGGGGGTGGGAGGGGAGCTTCAACAATGCAGTAAGCAGACAACACAAAACAAACTTAATGGCATTTTTGGAGTTTTTTTTGTCTCATAA